AAAAAAAAATAAAATAAAATAAATTATTATATATATATTATTTATTTAATTATCTTTTTTATTTATATATATATATTTTTTTTTTATTTTTATCTTTATAGTCACAAAAAACAAAATAATTAATTATATTTATATATTTATGTATGCATGCATCCATCTATTCATGCATGCATGCAAGGGGAGGGAAAGGAAGGGGAGGGGAGGAGAGGAGAGGGAAGGGAAGGAGGGAGGAGGGAGGAGGGGAATAGGTATAATGCATACTGTTTCTTGTATTCCTAATAAAGAAGCAACTCTTTGTAATTGAATAACACTATAATGTTCGCTTAATACACGAAGATTCTGCAGAAAAAGAAGAAAAATATATAAACAATTATTCAGGTGTATAGGCAGGTCATATTCAGCTGTATAGCCATATAATATTTAGGTGTATTCTATGCATAGTCCTGCTATATATATACACCGCAAAATATAAGGATAATAAATAAATAAATAAATAAATAAATAAATAAATAAATAAATAAATAAATAAAGAGAGGAGTTCCTTACATGTTGAATAACACGTTTTCTTAGTAAATTCCATCTCTTTGCACCTCTGCAAGAAAACAACAAAAATAAATAAATAAATAAGTAAATAAATAAATAAATAAATAAATAAATAAATAAATAAATAAATAATAATATAATATATACACCTGAACTCTGCTGCTGTGTTGTGATAGCTATAAAAGGAAACCCATGTTGCTGCCTATACACCTTAGCAAATATAAATAAAGTTGCCTATACACCTGAGCTGCGTATACACCTGAGCTGCGTATACACCTGAGCTGCGTATACACCTGAGCTGCGTATACACCTGAGCATACCCTGGATAACGATCATCCTTGAATGCAAGATGTTGACGAAGTTCATCATTATAAGGTAAAGGCCAACTTAATAATTCTATAGAAGATAAATCCTTCAATAATTGTCTGTATATAAATAAATAAATAAATAAATAAATAAACAAATAAATAAATTAAATTAATTAATTATAATTATAATTACTCCTGCTGCTGCTGCTGCTGCTGCTGCTTTGCTAGATATGCATAGATGACTTACTCGAAGACAGGCAGTTGTTGCAAATTCTTTGCCTCTGCAGCAAATAAATAAATAAATACGCATGCATGCAATGCATGCAATATGCAGCAAATCCTGCTGCTGTTGCTGCTGTTGCTGCTCCTAAGTTTCCCCACTAGACAGCAGCTGTGTATACACCTCATCATTGTAATTTAATACACATGCATGCAACTGCTGCTGCACGAATCCAATTAAGTAGCAACGTGCTCTTTTATTTTATTAAGGACAGCAGCAGCAACAACAACAACAACAGCAGCAGCAGCAGCAGCAGCAACAGCAGCAGCAGAAGCAGCCCCTAATATATATATAATATATATTCTTACCTTCCTTAAGAGTTTTATCAATAAGATCTTTTGCCTCATCATCATAAGGAGCAAGGACCAAGAAGATAGCAAAGAACTCTAGACACTGCAGCAGCAGCAGCAGCAGCAACAACAACAACAGCAACAGCAACAATAACAACAAGAACAAGAACAAAAAGATGGATGAATATATAATAAATATATAAAAAAGAGAATAAAAATAAAAAAGAAAATAAAAAAATGAATAAAATATTAGATATATATATATATATATATT